GAGGCGCGCAAGCCATCACACCACGTCAAGGTGCAGCCTCGTCGTGATAGACGTATGGTGTATGCCCAGCTGTCGTCTGCCGCACCGTGCTTCATTCGCTGTAGCTAATCCGGGTTGGAGAAAACCGCGTGGAGGTCAATAGATGACGTGGAGACGAGGCATGAAGAAATGCACAGAGCCATTAGGTAGAGTAGGTGTCTCTCACCTTCCACGGTGGGGTCTGAAAGACTCCACAATTGGTCCGTTGGAGACAATGAAGGATATGGCAGTGAACCGACAACAGTGGCTTTTTTGATGTCGTTTCTTATCAGGTCAGAATGCTTGAAACAGTATGAATGCAGAGTTCGATTGTGCACTCTGTGTGTTGACCATAGAGGTTCACCTTCTTCCCCCTCCCTCAAAATAGGTCCAATCCCTGTTCACTATGAATTTTACCACTAACCTTGTATGCATTGCCAGTTTGGCAGCGATCAGTGAAGTTCGCTTCACTTTCTTTCGCTGATGATGATGACGATGCCTTGGACATAATTCTTGAGACGGTCCTATCCTCATGCGAGGACAGTGGCATCGATTTACTCCCAGGTAGTAGACTGTTCGATGTGGAGTATGCAGACGACATTGTGCTACTAAGTGAAGATCTAGATAAGTTGCAAGCTTTTCTGGATAGTTTTAGTGCTGGTTTAGCTGTGTTTGGCATGCGTTTTGCACCTTTGAAGGGTAAAACGTTACTATAATATTGGGTTGGTCCAGCCCTCAAACTCACTATGACTAAAGAAGTAATAGAGAAAGTAGATAAATTTTGCTATCGGGGCAGCTACATCCCACCTGATGGATGCGATACAGTTGAAGTTTCGGCACGCGTACAGAAGGTTCGCATCGAATTTTTCAAATTGAGACATCTGTGGTGCATTTGCGATATTCAGTTGTCCGTAAAGGGCCGAGTGTATGTAGCAGTAGTTAGGCCAGTGCTGCTATGCGGTATAGAGACTTGGCCATTATGGTGTTCGAACAAAAATGTCTACGTCGCACAGGTCAGCAGGTCGGACGGTATCCCTCCAGCCATAGTGCATACGCTGGCAGGGGTGCTAGCCGGGTCGCCGACTGTAATTTTCAGGGAATTAGTGCAAACTGCCTTGTTGCCCAAAGACTGATGTACAGCTACCGTGTTGGCATTGCACAAAGCTGGACCGAAATACAAAGCAGAAAACGATGGACCAGTTAACCTAACGTCAGTGCTGTGTAAGTGCCTAAAGTGACTGATTAGAAGTCAGATTTGACTACACCTGGTTAGCAATCGACTCTACATCACTTGTCTGTTCTCTAAGCGGAAAGAGCGAAGCACTTTAAGGCCCTAGATAGGCTTCGGATGCGCTCAGTTTTCCAACAAGCGAAATGTTAGGATATGGATCCAGAACAACAGCAATCTATGCAACAAAAAGGACAATAATAAATCAAAAATATTCACCGCCACTCAGAAAATGAAGATTCGTATGCAGTTTGTTTCGAGCATCCAGGTGGTTCAGCAGACGACATTGTGCTACTAAGTGACGATCCAGGTAAGTTGCAAGCTTTTCTGGATAG